TGATTTCTTGACTGCTGCTTCCATGGGTGTTGATTGTGGATCCAAGTAAAATGAAGTCCTTGACAACTTAAATCTTTCCTCCATTTATCATGTTGTGGCTTATTGGTCCAGTTGTGAGGGTTTTTGTTTTCTTTATGTTGAGTTGTATTCCATACTGAAGGCTGTGGTCTTTGATCTTCATCAGTAAGTGCTTCAAGTTCTCTTCACTTTCAACAAGCAAGATTGTGTCATCTGCATAACGCAGGTTGTTAATGAGTCTTCCTCCAATCCTGATACCGAGTTCTTCTTCATATAGTCCAGTTTCCAGCATACAGATTGAATAAGTATGGTGAAAAATACAACCCTGGCACACACTTTTCCTGACTTTAAACCACACGGTATCCTCTTGTTCTGTTTGCAAGACTGCCTCTTGATCTATGTACAGGTTCCTCATAAGCACAATTAAGTGTTCTGGAATTCCCATTCTTCACAATGTTATCCATAATTTGTTATAATCCACACAGTCGAATGCCTTTGCATAGTCAATAAAACACAGGTAAACATCTTTCTGGTATTCTCTGCTTTCAGCCAGGATCCATCTCACTAGGACAAAAAAATTCAGTATCTGGTTAAAAGACTAAATGCGGAAGTCAACATAGTTTAAGGGAGAGAATAAAAAGAATTATATTCTCTTCCAGCATTTATATTGTTCTTGATTCCTCTTTCTCTCACACTCCCACATCCATTCCATTAGGAAATCCCTTTGGCCCTACTATAATATATATCTATAACCTAACCACTGCTACCATCATCATCTCTCACCTGTATTACTATAAAACCTAAAAGTTTGCCTCTCCAGACTCTAAAATCTATTCTCCACACAGCAGCCAGAGTGATCCTCTTAAAACAAGTCAGATTCTGTGATTCTTCTGCTCAGAACCATTCTCCAGTGGCTCCCTATTTCACTCAGAGTAAAAGCCCTTCTCTCCCTCTTATTCCACTACAGGTACACTGGCCCTTGCTCAAGCTACTTCCACTGCCTAGAACCCGTATCTGCTTGGCTCATTCCTTCAGTCTTCAAGTCTTTGCTCAAATAGCACTTCTCAGTGAGATCTGCTGCAACCTGCCACTTCTCCCGCCCCCTAGCACTGATGTACGCTAGAATTGCCTAGAATAGCGGGTACCCAATAAATATTTGTTGAATAGATGAATAAACTGAAATTGCTCTTCTTCCCCTTTAAAAATAATCACATGGGGTGACAACTTTTATATGGAGCTTTTTCATATGCTGTATAACTTGTTCCTCGTATCAATCTTATTCTTTTTACAGAGGAGAAAACAGGCCCAGAGAACTTAGTTTGCCCAGGATCCCACAATTTCTAAAAGATAGAGCTGGGACTTAAAGCCAGATTTTCTGACTCTAAATCTCAGGTTTGTCTCCCACCTGCAGAGTAAGGGTAGAAGAAGAGATAAGGAAGAAAAGGCAGGCAGCAAAAATGCTTCAGAGCAGTTTACTGGAGAATAAAACTGAAGTCTCAAAAGAAGGGCCAGGATGCCATTCTGCTTCCTTGTCCCTAACACTGAAGGCGGGGGGAAAGTCTCTTTTTTCTATTGTGCCAAGAGAGGCATCTATAGACCTTTGTGTGTGTGTGTGTGTGTGTGTGTGTGTGTGTGTGTGTGTGTGTGTGTGTTTTGTAAGGAGCCCTGGCGGTACAGTGGTTAAGCACTCAGCTGCTAACCGAAAGGTCAGTGGTTCAAACCCATCAGCCATTCCACCATCAGCCATTCCACAGGAGAAAGATTTGCCAGTCCGCTTCCATGAAGATTTACAGCCTTGGAAACCCTATGGGGAAGTTCTACTCTGTCCTACAGTGTTGCTATGAGTCAGAATCAACTTGACGGCAATGGGTTTGGTTTGGTTTTTGGTGTATGTTTTGTTTTGTGATTTTTATCAGTTATATATGCCAATGGTTTACAGAATCAAGTAGTTCTATAGGCATTTTGAAAAAAGTCTCCCACCTCTCCCATCATTTGCTGCTCCCCAAAGGCAACCACTTTCTTTCAGCTGATTCTTATTTGCCTCATGTCTCTAAATAACTTTGCTTACATTTCTTTCATTTTTCCATTTTCAGCATTACCTATTGACTTTCCACCCTGGAAGATGAGGATTTACCATTCCTTCACCTCACCCTCTACCCTCACCACACACAAAACCTTCCCATTCCTAATTTATCATGCTAATGTAAATTGTATTACATTAAGAATTGGGTTTAGATTACTAATTCTACCCCGAACTCTTTGCCAATTGTCTTAATCTCCCAATGTATTCAGGCCCATCAGGTAGTCTGTCAAGTTCATCTTGAAGAAACTTCTCCTGGAAATTTCTGACCTCTCCAGTCTGGATTACTCTTTAGGCCTGATGAATAAATATGGTCTTGGAATCTCCTTTCACCATCAGTGGTTTTCTTTCATCTCTCTCCTGTGTTGAATCTCCTGTTGCCCAGATCCTATGTCCTCTTCTTTCTTGACTCTCTTGTTTTGATGGAGCACATCTTCCAGGAGCTTCCTGAGAAAAGGTGCGTGGAAGACAAAATTTTTGACACTTTATGTATCTGTAAAATGTCTTCATTCTACCTTTCTACTTGACTGATGGTTGAGTTTGGAAATCATTTTCCCTCAGAATTTTGAAGACATTGCTCCATTCTCTTCTACTTTCCAATATTGTTCTTAAGAAGATTGATGTTATTCTGATTCTTCTTCCTGTGTTGGAAACTCCTAAGATTTTCTCTTTATCCCCAATGTTCTAAAATTTCACAATGATGTGTCTTGATGTGCCTCTTTTGATGTTTACTGTGCTAGATACTTGGTGAGCCCTTTCTATCATGAGGTTGTGTCCTTC